CTAAGCCCACCCCTATACCCATTAATATAAGAAATGTAGGGGGCTACATTTCTTATTTTGGTGTGTGTTTAGGGAATGATCTTCATTGCGCATTAGGGGTTGGAGGCTCCTTGGCCTAATGGATAAGGCAAGTCTCTCAACATCAGACATGCTAACATGTAGGGGCTCGAACCCCAAAATAAGAAATGAGCTAAGAAATGAAGGGTACCCTACGCCTGGGGCTCTGAAATAATAGGAATGTGAAAATGCTGCTTAGCTAAGAAATGAAGGGTACCCTACGCCTGGGGGACCCATTTCTTATCCTGTAGATGCACTGTACCCTAAACCCTATAAACCCAAATACCTGAACTGCCTTCCGATTTTGGTTTTCGAGGAAAACCTGGCCTCTTGCAAGTGCCGCTGTTTTCTGAGCAGGCCTTCCCGAACGTGAGCCTCCACCTGCAACTTGTCAAGGAATATGGTGTTTATCAAGCAGGATTATACAGGAATTATATAGGGATTATCTAGGGACTATCTAGGATTATGAGGACATTTACCCCAATAGTGGAATCAAATGGAAAGAAGATGCGATATGAAATGGAATAACCGCAGTGGAAGAGTACTTATGCTTCGCGCGCCCCTCCGCTTCAATACGTACAGTATGTAGTTTTTTGCGGCCTCCAACACAACACGTTGTCGAGCTTCCAGGCGTACCTGGCATCTAGGCTCACAGAGACAACAGCTACCATCGCTGAGTGTTGGATGCAGCCTTCAGGGGTTCCCAACATCATTTGCTCGCATAGCTTCAGATCTTCAAGAACCGCATTCTGACGGCGCTGTGAACAATGTTTCATCTATGAAATGTTCGAAGTAATTGAGAGGAGTACGGTCAGCGACACCGACTTTGGAGCTCCGATCGGGAATAAGGGATTCTTATTCCTATATAAGAGCTATATAGAGTGTATGTGCCAAGGACCAGTATGTATAATTTGAGTATGGCTTTGGCTATGTGAACATGGATTCAATCAAACCGATAGGAGAGCTCCTCTAATCTTAAAAAGGAATCAGACAGATCTGTTATTTGATAGTTAAGAATAAGACCCATCCTCTGTGGATGAATAAAGAATAA